TTAAAACTTCTCCTCCCCTTCATGCTCCTCTCCTCCTCCCCCCCCCCCCCCCCCCCCCCCCCCCCCATCTGAAAGGGTAGCTCTATGTAGAACGTGCTTTAGTATTACAATAGAACGGTCGTTCATCTTTCATACCACCAGTCTCGGTACTTGTCTCATTAATAATGATGACTGTAAATGCATGCACTTCGCCAAATATTCGCACTAGATCTCATCAAATTATTGGTAACCCCAACATATCAAATCAAGCTTTCAATTCCAATACCACATTCACACCGACGAGACCGACAACACTGCGAACAAGATTTACAATACCGCGAATGACCAAGAATCGGTCGGGTTGGTGTCGGTGTGAAATGCGTCGCGCTTTGGTGGTGCTACTATAAACGTACTATGGACGTACGTATCAAATTAAAGCGGTTCACTTAATATAAAATGGCAAATAGGATATCATGAAATCAAATGGTCGAAAATGGGCAAAATAAATTCACCAAATAACATTCATATGAATGAATTTGTAATCTTGCATGATTAATTGTGAGACAGTATTATGCACTGGAGGAAAATAAAGTAATTGGCTTAGATCTGTTTAATTGTTCTTATTGTTACAACATTAATTTAAAGGTAATGCAAAGTTTCGGGAAATTTTGAAAATTGGATTGATAGTAATTTTAAAATGTTGATATATTTGGATGCCCCAGCACTAGAAAATTTAGCCCCTAAAACAGTTCTGCTTTCGAGAAATTGAATAATAAAAAAAATTACCGGTGCTCCCGGTTAATTTCAAATATTTCAATAGCGCCTAAGGCCATTTCATGGTAGCTGCGATCATGAAAATCTCAGAATATGCAGTTCTGATATATAATTTCCAAACGGGAATAGCAAATCGGTCGATTGTAGTCAAGAAACATTGTTTCAGAGCTTAAGTAATATCAGTCCTGAAAGGGCGCTATTACAACATAGAGAGTTTATTATTTACAATTTCATTACTTTAGACTCGATTTCAATCGCGACAATGATCATTGAATATTGTAAAATCGCAGCATAGGCTTCTGATATGTTCATTTGAACCAAATTCATGACCCCTTACCAAAACTTTGTAATACCTTTAATGTTAAATTAAAATCTCTTTAAAAAACGGAACGGAGAGCCAAAAGCACATTAGTGACGCCTGATTTATCAGTCATCATTCTTTGTAGGGTTGGTGTTACTCTTCCAAAAATCATGAAGCTCGATCATAGATTTAAAATAAAATCGTATTCTATAGAATTGGTTTCAGCGCTTCTGTATTATTTTTGTGTAAAACACATTCAAAGAACATTCGGAAATGCGATACGAGCTTATCAAACGACAAACAAATTGATGCAATCATGGACGGTACTCTCGTAAAAATATTATTTCTCTGACAAAATATATACAATTAAAATCATTAAAAGCCTTTAGGCGTTCGAGTAGGCCTACATCATTGTACTCTTGTGCTATGGCCCTGGGAAGCGGGGGTGCTGGGGGTGCTGCAGCACCCCCAGCAATTTTTTTTGTTACTAGTGATACATAAAAAAAAAAAATTGTGGTAATTGGTGACCCAAAATGACAGACAGACCTTACCCCCCCCCCCCCCCCCCATACCGATCAACAAAATTTTCAAATTTTGGGACACACATACAAAAAAAAAATGTCCCTCTCCCCCCCCCCCCCCGTTTATTCAGCAATCGGCTGACTCGTTGCGATTTTTGGGGGACAAAAAAAAAAGATATGTCCCCTTACCCCCCCCCCCCCCCCCCCCCCCCCCCGCTTATTCAGCGACCGGCTGAGTCGTTGCGATTTTTTGGGGACAAAAAAAAATTAAAAAAATGTCCTCTTACCTTATCTTAAAGAGGGAGAATAGGAAAAAAAGGAAAAGAAAGAAAAGAAAGGAGGCAAGAGCCCTTCGCCCCTTTTCCCTCTTTTCTTATTATTTTTCCTCTTCTTTCTTTCCTTTTATATTTTCTTTCCCTCTCCCTTCTCTTTCCCTTTATGGCGGGAGGGAGGAGGGGGAGGTAAGAGCCTTTCGCCCTTCCCCCGTTTCCCTCTTTCCGTCTTCTTCTTTCTTTCCTTTTATATTTTCTTTCCCTTTCCCTTTCCCTTTTCTCTCTCCTTATTTATTTTTTGGCGGGGGGGGGGGGGAGTGAGGAGGAGGCAAGAGCCCTTCGCCCCCCCCGTTTCCCTCTTTTCTTCTTATTATTCTTTCTTTCCTTTTATCTTCTCTTTCCCTTTCCCTTTTTTCCTTCTCTCTGTCTCCCCCAGCTAGGGCTGGTTTTGTTTACGAAGCGCCCGTCAGGAGAGTACACGATAGAGTACACGATAGAGTACACGATAAAATTGACGATATCGTGAACTTTATATCGTGAACTTTTCACGATAAAATTCACGATATCGTCAATTTCATTGTGAAAAGTTCACGATAAAGTTCACGATATCGTCAATTTCGTGAATTTCTTCGTGAAAAATATGCGATAAAATTGACGATATCGTGAATTTTATCGCATATTTTTCACGATTTAGTCTATTCGCGATGTCCCTTCAGGGCCACCATATGTTGGTGTGTGTTTTGTATCTGACTGTTGTAGGCCTAGACCTAGATCTACTTGTTATGTGTTTAAGTGTTGAGAGGCGGGGGGGGGGGGGGGGGGGGTAGTAGGTGTTTTCTAGCTTTTTCTCTTTTTATCATTTATCTTTTTTTATCATAACCCTTCTGTTTTTTCTCTGAAGCAAATTTAAGAGGGAAAAAAAAATATTGTGGAAAAGAAAAGAAATAATTCATACGCAAACTCAGTGGTCGAGGAAATAGTACAAACTTTATTTGCAATTTGTTTAAAATGTGAAAAATATAATTTTGTTTATGTCAATATTTTTCATCTGTAAATGTGTAACTTTATTTGTAACCTTGTATGGAAATTTAAAAGTTCACTTGCAAATTTTTGTAGACCTATGCCAAGATTATTTTGTTATTTTGTATACAATGTTATAAATTATGTACAATTTTCTTTATGAGAGAAGAGAATAAAAACCTATGAAAACAAAAAATTGACATGTGTGCACGGCCGCAAAAAAAATATCGATCCAAATCGCGATTCAAGTCGCATAAATTATTGTTTTGTGTGAAAGGCCTAATTCATGCAGCAACGCAGTGAAAGACAATTCATTGAATCTCATCCCGCTTTCATATTCTTCTAGGGGTGTTTCACAAAGATCCTAAGTCGAACTGAAACATTATGCAGAGCCATTCGTAGCCTTAAAATAAAATATATTCATAAGCGAAAATTCAAGTATTTTAGACTTTTTTTTAATTCCACAGCAAGAACATTAAATCTCCTTGATAATACAAAATATGAATGATTTTAATCAACATTTTGTGCCTTGTAAAATAACTTTTACAAAATATTTTCATAGATTCTAACGGCTTTCCATAGTTGTTAAGTCCAACTTAGAGATAAGTTTAACTTAGGATCTTTGTGAAACACCCCCTGGTCCCTTTGTCCTGTGCTTTGAGGCTAATAATGGACTCGTATCTCATTCAAGGTTGCATAAATGATTAATAAAGAAACAAGGAAAGATCAATTATCATTGTTCTGTGTCTTTATATTTTGTTTTCTTTTTTTGCGTTGTATTCAAATGGAATTACATGGAATTACACTACACATCACTTCTGTGAGCAAACTACTTTCAACATCACTGGCTAAAAAACCTTATAAATTCATTCATACGCGGCAATATCATAACATAATTGGTATCATACGAAAGAGGATGAATTGAACTTTAACATGAATAGTAAGACTTTTATTCAGGACATTACAAATTTCCTAGTAACCTTTGGAAAAATTCAGGTTTCATTTCCTTGTTTCGGTAAGGTCGACAGATTCTATATATCTCATTATTAACACATATTTTTACATTTAATGTTTGTTAGTCATGAGTCACAGGCAAGAATTCTACTGATTCAATAAAATATCATTTATTTTGATACAACAAAGACATTGTTTCCTAATTTCTAAGCTTTAAACGAAAAGAATATAAAGCCTGCTCTACAATTCAAACAGAAATAGCCTCATAACTGTACAAAACGATGAAAGAAATTTAAATTTCCAGTATTTTCCAAATTTTCAAGTAGTCTATATTACACAAGAAAATTCATGTGAATTTCGGCATGGGGTCTATACTCTATAGGTATGAAACTCCATGATGTACAAGGAAATCCTATTAGAACGAGTATAGCATGCAATAGCAACTGTTTCATCATAAACTGCATTAAAATAATGTTTTACAAAGTGAATGATACATCCTCCTGGTCGGAAATCTTCATGTTTTTTTCAGGGCATTTAGACCCCTTTTCAATTGGCTTCTTTTTGTTATTTCGTTAATTAAATTCAAATCTAATCTAATCATAATGAAATGTTACAAGCAACTTCTCTTTCAAAAAGATATTTCTACATGTGTGTCAAAGACTGATGACAAATACAAAATATATCATACTTGTCAGATTTTTACCTCTGACATTTTTACCGTGCACTTTAAAATCAAGGAACAATAGAATGATGTAAAATGAAAACACTGATTCAAACACTAAATAAAGGCACTTAAAATTGTCTGATTTTATTGCGATGTAGGATATACAATTATCTCGGCCAAGTATTACAACCAGAGAAAAATGAATACGCCGTAAATGTTCATGTATGAGACGCACTCTTTTTTTAAAGTTTCAATTTATGCCCCTCCACCTGGCGCTATGCCTGGCAATGTCTCCCAGCTCAGTAATTGATGTGTTGAGTGTTGACTCACCACTGGGAAACTAGAACAACACTCAAATTTGTCTGTCATCTTGGTTTGAAAGTAATCTTTCAAATAGTTCTCAATATGTAGTTTATAATAATAATTTCTCCAATTTTTCTTCTATTACACACGGCGTACCACAAGGTTCTATCCTAGGTCCTCTACTGTTTTTAATTTACATTAATGATCTTACACATTCTTTTAAAAACGACATTGTTACTATTATTTGTGACAGGTTCACAAGCACAAATGCAGTTAAATGAAAGTCCTTCCTCGCATGTGTTTTTTAACACGAACCTGGCTTGCTGCAGACAAAGTGGGCAATTTTTTTTTTTTTTAAAACCCCTCAGCCTCTACTATAGGGGTGCGTCTTATACACAGGTGCATCTTATACACAGAGATTTACAGTACTTGGGTTTTTTTAATTAAAATCTGGCCTACCTGTGCCATCTTTGATGGTGAATAATTCTTTTAAGAGACATTAATATACATTTGCCACACTCGACCCAGGTGAGGTAAACGGGTATCTGGCATGGAATTAATTCCTTGAAATGTTAGAGCACCAATATTGCTAATGCCGTGGAGCGCCAGGAGTGTCAAGTCTAAAAGACATGTCTTGAGCACTATACAAGAACCCACTATTATCATTGCTCAACTGATATGGCTTTTCTACAGTATGGATATTTATAGGATAGATTAGACTCCTCTTTCAAAGGAACAATTTTCTTCAAACAGAATACTAAAATTGATTTAATACAGAATGAGTTTTCATATGATACTTTAAGCTAGACTTCCAAGTGAATTGTTTGCTACAAATGGAACAAAGATATGTCTTTTCTCCTGTATGGGTTCTCATATGCATATCTAGCACACTCTTCCTTGATACCCCTTTGTTACAAACAGAACACTGGAAGGGCTTTTCTCCACTATGGGTCAACATGTGTCTTTTTAGATTTTGCTTGAATGCGAATATTCTGTTACAAACAGAGCACTCATAGTTAGTATTTCCTCCTCTGTGTTGTGTCATATCACAGAATTTCAGGTGGTATGTTAGACTTTTCTTCTGAAAAAACTGTTTGCCACAAATAGAACACTGGAACGGCTTTACCTCCGAATGGCTTTTCATATGATCTGACAGTTGACTTTCAAGCAAGAACTTCTTATTACAATGAGAACACTGAAATGGCTTTTGTCCCGTATGGGATTTCATATGCTTATCTAGGTAACCTTTTCTTGAGAACCTTTTGTTACAATCAGAACACTGGAAGGGCTTTTCTCCAATATGGGTCCGCATGTGTCTTCTTAGCTCATTCTTGCATGAGAACATTCTGTTACAATTAAAACACTGATCTGACTTTTCCTTCATATGGGTTTTTATATGATACTTTAGACTAGTCTTCCATATGAATTGTCTGCTACAAATTGAACAAAAATATGTCTTTTCTCCTGTATGGGTTCTCATATGCATATCTAGGTAACCCTTTCTTGAGAACCTTTTGTTACAATCAGAACACTGGAAAGGCTTTTCTCCACTGTGGGTCACAACGTGTCTTGATAGCTCACTCTTAAATGAGAACCTTTTGTTACAATCAGCCTCAGGACAATGAATCTCTTTTCTATCATGGGTTTTCATGTGGTTTGTTAGCCTAGTCTCCGAAGTAAATCGTTTGCCACAAACTGAACAAAGATATGGCTTTTTTATTGTATTTTCTCCTGCATGGCTTTTCATATGCCTGTTTAGGTTACCCTTTCTTGAGAACCATTTGTTACAATGAAAACACTGGAAGGGCTTTTCTCTACTATGGGTCCACATGTGTCTTATTAGCTCACTCTTGAATGAGAACCTTTTGTTACAATCAGGACAATGAAACCTTTTTCCACCATGGGTTTTCATATGGTTTGTTAGCCTAGTCTCCGAAATGAATCGTTTGCTACAAACTAAACAAAGATGTGGCTTTTCTCCTGTATGGGTTCTCATATGCATATCTAGGTAACCCTTTCGTGAGAACCTTCTGTTACAATCAGAACACTGGAAAGGCTCTTCTCCAATATGGTTCCTCATGTGTCTTCTTAGCTCACTCTTGCATGAGAACTTGCTGTTACAAACAGAACACTGAGATGACTGATATGACTTTTCCTTCGTATGGGTTTTCATATGCTTGGTGAGAGAAGACTTGCTTAGACACACTTTTCCACACTCGGAGCATGGTCTTGGATTACCTACATCATGGATTTCAATGTGGCGTGCTAGACTTCTCCTCCACATGAACTGTTGACTACAAACAGAACAATGATATGCCTTTACTCCTGTATGGGATCTCATATGAGATAACAGATAACTTTTTAGCACGAATTTCTTATCACAATGAGAACACTGGAATGGCTTTTCTCTTGTATGGGTTTCCATATGCATGTTTAGGAAGTCCTCAGTAGAGAACCTTTTGTTACAATCAGAACAATGAAACAGCTTTTCTCCACAACGGGTTTTCATATGATACTTTAGACTAGTCTTCCATATGAATTGTCTGCTACAAATTGAACAAAGATATGTCTTTTCTCCTGTATGGGTTCTCATATGCATATCTAGCACACTCTTACTTGATAAACCTTTGTTACAAACAGAACACTGGAAGGGCTTTTCTCCACTATGGGTCAACATATGTCTTTTTAGATTTTGCTTGACAGAGAATATTTTGTTACAAACAGAGCACTCATAATTAGTGTTTCCTCCTCTGTGTTGTGTCTTATCACAGAATTTCAGGTGGTATGTTAGACTTTTCTGCCCTAAAAACTGTTTGCTACAAATAGAACACTGGAATGGCTTTATCCCTGAATGGCTTTTCAAATGAGATAACAGATAACTTTTCAGCGAGAACTTCATATTACAATGAGAGCAGTGGAATGGGTTTTCTCCTTTATGGGATTGCTTATGTCTGTGGAGGCCAAACTTCGTTGTGAACCTATTGTTACAATGAGAACACTGAAATTTCTGGAAATAGTTTTCTCCACCATGGATCCTACTGTGTGTTTTTAACCCACTCTTGAATATGAACTTTTTGTTACAAACAGAACACTGGAAAGGCTTTTCTCCACTATGGCTCATGCTGTGTGTTGTTAGCTTACTCTTGAATAAGAATTTTTTGTTACAAACAGAACACTGATGCTGCTTTTCTCTTCTGTTAGACACCATGTCTATTGCGCTGTCAGTGTTTGCAATTCTTTCATCACCATCAGAACACTGCTTTGCTGAAGGACTTTCTCGTTGCTTATTCATCCCTTCATGCTCAGGCCTATAGGAACATGAAGCACCTACTCTGTCCACTGCTGTTAAAGGTTTTTGCGAATCACTTTCTTGAACTGGAACATCATTTGAACCAGATTTATTGATCATGTTCCTAAAGTCTCTTTGAGGTGAATCACAATTGGCCAATGCTTCAGCATTTGGCAGAACAGTTGAGCTGCCTTTTCTTGAGACTTTACCCTGTGTTTCTGGCTTCATACATCTCCTTTCGTCCATTTCTTCACCATGTCCTGACAGCTGCTGATTTGATCTTGTGGGGTTTCCAGCTAAGACAAAAAGGAATTTATGTATTATTTATTTGGAAATTCACAAATAATTGTATAATCGAATGATTAGGCCAGAAGGGGATATACATGTACCCTTGCCCATTTAGAGTGGGGAAAGTGAAACAGAAGGACACTTTACATTCTTCCTCTATCTCTTTCCCCGTAACTTTCACGAGTATCGGATTACCGCAAAACAGCTTCTGATAATTGTTTAATGCGATTATATTCAAGACTTGTGATGTTGTCCCCTCATTAATGATTTACATAATATTATAATCTTTGAAGAGTTCAAAGGATTGAATCAGTTGACTGGAAATAGAAATTTCATAATTTTTAATTCCAACTTAGAGATAAGTTCAACTTAATAGTATCTTTGTGAAACACCCCCCAGAACAGTAATTGAATGCAGTGACCAGTCTTACAAAGAGTTGTGATTGATGCAAATCAATCGCAAATCCTCCAATCAATCGCAAGTTTGCAGTTTCCTATCTCTTATGTACATAGTTGCGATTGATATCAATTGCAAATAAGTTGCGATTGAGATCAACTCTTTGTAAGACGGGTCCAGAGTGATAATAATGATACTGTCAGCGCTTTGGTCAGTAAAAGGAAAAGCGCTACATAAGAAGCTGGTATTATAATCCTTATTATCATTTATGAAGATCAAAAGATTTTACCTTGAGGCTCTGCCACGTTACTTGTCTTGATCTCCTCTTCCCTATCCTCTCCTGAAATTTCTTGACTAAAACTTCCATCCCGACAACTACACTGCAGGTTGAGGATATCATCTGTTGAATAATAGTGAGCCAGAATCAGTATTTTGATTTGAATAGAAATGTCAAACAATTTTAACTCATGACAAAATTCCATAATGTAGTTTTACATAAAATAGTAGAGTAAATGCATCAAAACAGTTTGGAATTAAAGACCCATGAGAATGACGACAATTTTCATGTCGGCATTCTTTTAGATATTTTCCATTTCAAGCAAAATCTTGATACAAATCATTATCACATGATTATTTGATAAATACATGTTAAAATTGTGAGTTATACAATATCTTTTTTAAAATAATTTTGTGTATAGAAATAAGATCAGGGTCTTCTTTCGATAGGAAATGAGTAAATGGCATTTAACCGTTGTCCGAATGCTTTACTTGAGATATTATCTTTCAGGGGGTTGTTTCACAAAGATTTTAAGTCGAACTTAACTCTCAGTTGGACTTAAAAATTATGGAAAGCCATTTGTAGCCTTTAATTAAAATATATTCAAAAGCGAAACCTCAACTATTTTAGACTTTTTATAAATTCCACATCAAGAACATGAAATCTCCTTGTTGATAGAAAATATGAATGATTCTGAATCAACATTTTATGCCTTTCAAAATAACTTTTACAAAATATTTTCATAGATGCTGATGGCTTTCCATAATTGTTAAGTCCAACTTAGAGATTAATCCAACTAAGGATCTTTGTGAAACACCCCCAGAATAGTTATGAGCCTTGTGCAAATACCGTGTATTCTTGATGGGTCTCTGGTCACCTCAACTTCCTCATCTTCTGTATCCTCTATCTTCAAGAAGAAGACCTGGAATCCTTTATCCACATCGGGCAGGGGCTCTTCAAGAACCTTGATTTCACTCATCTTGGCTTCCCGTCTCCAACCCCTCTTTATCCTAAATGAAAACAGACACATTACAAAACAAAACAAAAAGCATTAAAAGCCTGCTGGTTGATTTTGACTTAGTTTGCAGATAATGCAAGTATGTGATTGAAGGGGATAATTTCTTGGAAAGATTTCCTTTTGTTGACAGTAGGCTGAGTCAAGACGGTTCCCCACCTGGTCCCCGACTGTCGCACGGAAACCCGGGTTTGAATATATTCCAGTTTCAGGTTTTTCAAAATTAAATTTCACACTGATATTTTCAAATAAAGAACTACAAATATGCAATTCACAAACTTTTCAATTAAATTAAATAAATATGCTTTAGAAATAAATGGATTTCGTTTCAGTTGACGGTAGGTGGTTTATCGTCTAATATTGAGGCTGCAAGTAGGACTTGACAGCCACCTCTAGCCAACATTCTCTCTTCTCTCCTACCATTCCTCCTTGAATCTATTCATATTCTTGGCATGCTGTCCATCCAAGCAAACACTCTTACATTAATGATTGCACATCACACAAACTTCAAAAACCTGTGGTCTCTGGGTGGATTTGAACGTCTGATCCTTTGGTCTGCAGTCCAGCAAGCTACCAATGTACCTGCGAGAACGAGTTGAGCTTGTGCGGCGATATTATAAGCTATAGATACTTCAGACTATTTCTCCTGAGTTGTAGATGGTGCTATTCACTAGTCATCTAACCCTAATGTCTCATTTTTTATATTATTATATGTATCATTCTAAGCTGTACCCATATTATTTCTTTCCCATTTCTGTAGAAATGCAATCATTTCCAGGAAATATTCATCTGATTCTAGAATTCTTGTTAAAAAATTTAGTATATCATCTGCAGTAAACTCTTGTGCATGAACTTTGGACTCGTTCCTTCATTTCTTTACCTATTTCAATCAGTTTAGTATACTATTATAACTAAGTAAGGCGCATGCACTGTTTTTCCTGAATTTAGCTATTAACTCCCTGCCATGCATTTTTATAATTTATCAATTGCTATTAATTATCATTATTAAGTATCAAAATTTGTTGATGAAGCTGTTCACGATGATCAATTGCATGCCGTATCGACAGTGGGGTGCGGGCGCTCGTGTGTTTAATAGCTAGCGACTGTTATCACAGATCCTCATTAAATTTATGTTAGTAATTCACATTATGATGATGATGATCATCATCATGGTCGCTAACATCACGCATGCCCGCACCCCACCGTCAGTACGTGTAGTAAGCATTTCATTGACTTATATGCTCTGCTGGAGTGTTTAGCAGTGGCCGGCTTGCCATGAACCAGTGAGAAAATTATATTATAATTTATATTTGGACTATGAAATAAAAAAATAATGTTTTCCTTTTTAGGAAAAATTCTCCAAAAGAGATAAGAAAAAATGAAATGGAACAGGTAAGAAACATCAACATTTTTAAATCATATTATTTGAACAATTGATTTTTGGCATGTTTCAGCATGGACCTAAAAGTACTAGGTCCATGGTTTTAGTCACTCCAGCAAAGCATAGAGAGTCAATGCTAATGCGTTTTGACCTTTAGCACTGCATACTTGCTGTGAGACAGGTATTATACACAAATATACACACCACACAATATTGCATGGACTGCACACAATAGGACCGATTGAGCTGATCGGCAAATTTGACACTAGACTTATAATTTGAATTTTTAAATTATTCTTTTTAACATCAGTAAGTTGAAAAATGTATTTTAATGCTATTTAGGTTTCATCAATTGTCACTAAAGTACCGATTTTGAGTGAAATCAGCTGAGTTTTGTACAGTGGTGTTTGAAATATTGAGAGTCAAAACCACAGCTTTTACTACACAGAAGGATAGTAATGTACCTATGCATGTGTGGGTTTTAGTAGGGTATCGCCACGCTGGAGTTACGGCTCAATGGCTGGCCTGGTTGATTCTGAACTAGCAGCTTAAGCTTCAGCTTTGTCAGGGATCGACTCTTCACAACAGGCGACCATTCATCAAACGACATTTTAAAAAGTCCAGAAAAACAAATTGATAAAGTCTCACCGTATTCAGGAAAGGTAACCCTTTAGTGATCCTGAGCTTTTACGGCCAAATACAGAAAAGAAGGTCCAAGGTTTTATAAACCAACGTCGTTGTCAATTGTTGTCATGTTGTATGGGATGCCAAAAAGGCTGTAGCTGCTAGGTCTGCGACTTAATTTAAACTTTAAAGTCCACTCCAGAAATAACTTACTTTCAATAGAAGCAGAAAGATCAGACAAACCAATCAAAAAAAGTTTTAGCAAAATCGGATAACTAATAAGTTAGTTATGAATTTTTAATGACATGAAAAACTGAAAATCCAAAGATAATCTGACAACTCACTCATGCATCTGTGCCTTCCTGACACCATTACAGCATCCACGTAGTATAGGCGGTATACCACACAAAAGGTGGTGGTTATTTTACCTGTCTGCTAATTAGAATAAATGCTTGTAAGTAACCAACCAGAGGACCGACGGCTTTAGGTGAACCTGGTAGATAGTAGGCCCAATGTGTTTTTGTGTGGATGCATGCACTTATATAGAGTTATTTTTTTCAGTTAAATCATGAAACATGTAAATTTTGATAAACTATAAACCATGATGATTATGAATATATAATATTCAGTATAGCATAAATTCTTCAAAGTTTATAAAAGATTTTGTGAAATGTCATATGCACACAATGTGATTGAAATCATATAACCTGGGCAAAGGCATGGGGAAATCAATATAAAAATGGAAATTAAGGGGATAAAAATATATAAAGCACTAAACAGGTTAAGGCAATGACATCACAAACTGATAACCAAACTGGCAATTTGTGTAGTGATTTTCTAAGTTTTAGTTCCATACTTTTTCATACTTGAAAAAAAAAAAGATAACTTTCTAATAAGTAATTAATTATCCGATTTTACTCAAATTACAGTGCAGTTACTATAGTAGTGCACAGTTCTCGCTATCGCCAATATATAATAATTGTGTAAAGAGATGAAAAGACCGGGCTCAAAACGTTACCGTCTAGGGTAACTTAACAGGCCGGGTTCGTGAGGATGGCTGCAATTGACTTTGAAATTGCGTCAAAATATGGCCCATAATTATGTAAAGTTTTTATTTAAAGTGATTTAATCATGGACAACAGAGCGTCTTTCAAAGTGGGAGGGGTGGGTATATCAACAAAAAAGGGCACCTACAAAGGGAAACCTCTATACTGTGATTAGATTATCAGGGAGGGTTTCATTGTTTGTTTCTCTCTAGTAGGTGGTTGTGATATGGACTCAATATTTATTTGTCAACAAGGAAGAAAAAAAAGATAAAGAGGATCAAAAGCAATCCTAATCAGGAAAGACTGAAAAAATCTTTTGGTAAGGAACAAAATTATATTAACAAAAAGTGCGAGCGAGCGTAAAGCGATCTATATAGCTTTGGGTGAAATTAAACATGGTAGTAGTGGTGGTGGTATAGTGGTGGTAGTGGTAGTCGTGTAGCCTCTTTTCCATGTGCTCCTAAATTAGATCAAGCAACCTTTTTCTTCAATTTCTCTGAAATTACTTTGATTTTAAGTTAATACAAATTTATTTCTCATTAAATATCCTTTCAGTCTCTCCTGATTAGAATTGTTTTTCCTCTTTATAAGATGTAAATTTTCGTACTGCGACCTCACTAATCTTAAATCTTTTTCTAGCTCGTTTTACTCGCTCACAAATAAATATTCAGACCATCACACCCAACTGCAAAGTATGATGCTTAAGAAGTATCTTGGACAATGTAAAGAGAGAAACAAACGATGAAATCATCCCTTATAATATAATCACAGTAGGGATATAATTGCCTACCAATGTCTACAAATTGTATATTATCGCTTCAAGGTCTCCCTTTGTAGGTGCCCCCTTTTTTTGGTGCCACCCCCCCCCCCCCCCGATTGTGAAAGACGCCCCGTCGCCCCTGTTTGTTACATTACTCTTACATAGAGGGTCAGATCATTACATGTATTTATTTTTTGAATAATATATTGAATAATAAATACATGTACAACGATGGTGCTCACAGCTTTCAAGAAATTTCTTCCTACTGGTACACATTTAAAACACGAGTGGACATTGGTGCAGTCTACAACTTCTATAAAGGGACTTTAATAGGTGTTGTTCAGATGAGATAAAATCATGCTAAGGTTAGTGACTCAAAATCACTTAATGCTAAATGTATAATCGAAGATAATCTGGAAGTTTGAGTGAAAAAAAAACCATTATCAAAAACTGGGAAAAACGTATCTGATCAATTCCTTAATTCTACAAACTATATTATTACAATTTAATTACATTTAAGGTGAATGTAAATCATCACAAAGCTATGAAAGGCTCTATATAGTATTCCAGACATTATTTTAAGTGTTGACAGTTTTTTAAAAGCCTGTCTTATTGCTTATTTTCAGGGACAAATGGTTTGGAAAATTCAAAAATGGTTGGGAAAATTTACTGTTAGAGGGTGTCGCACAGGGACGCCTTCAAAGAAAACCATGAATATCTTTGTGGTTCGATAATTTTTTTTCAGGATTGTTTGCATGTTAGAGGGTTAGTACAGTGGAAGGAATATGATAAGTATCATTTCATACCAAAATTTCGTAGTTTTTTCATCAACCTTCAACAATGTTACCGAGTCGCTTTAAGACAACAGACAGAACACCAATAAACCTTTTCTCTTGGATAGGTTTCAATTATATGACAAATTACTTCTACCGGTATGCAAAACTTTCTTACCCCAATGAGAACACTAGAAATGCTTTTCTCCTGTGTATGGCATGTTATGTCAGTAATGTTTGATTACATTTTCCATGCCAGAGATGAGGCTGTGTTTTAAACATGTATGCTCCGTCTAGCTTGAGGGCAGTTTTCTACGGTATGGATATTCATATTAGAAAATGCACAAAAAGCGATCTTGTCCAATATTGTCAAGTTTGTGTCGTACCAAGCTAGGAAATCGGTGTTACTACAACAACGAAAGATGAAAGACACTGGCATATCGATCCATTAAGATCTTACCAAACATAACCACGGATTGCTTTATGAATCGAGGAAACATAGAAAAGTTAGGCGTGGACCTCAGATGGACATGTCGTTGCACTCCTTCCTGCCACCGGTGCGGTGGGTAGACAGTGACTAAGGGAATCAAAGACTTTGAGGACTTAAAAACACTTTGATAATTATTTTCAATCAATATCAATTATGAATACAATTTGTACCCTACTCTTTATAATATTAAATATCCATGCAGTAAACTGTAATAAAGCAGTAAGGAACAATCAAAAGGCCCTTTTATGTACTTCATGTACAAAGTGGGCTAATAAATCTTTTGAAAATTAGCAATTTACTGTATGTACTCTGAAACAGTTTCCCTTTTGGGAACATGAAGATATCTTTCCCGTAGAAACTCGTCTTGGATGTTCTTATCTTCCAAATATTACACAAAATTCTACACACCTTAACATCAGACGTTTAAGAAATGAAGTTACAGATGTAAAACAATTTCTTACGTCAAACCCTTTCGACACTTTAGGACTATATCCGACACATGGTTGAATGAGGATTTTTCAAATCACATGATTTAGTATCGATGATTACACAATCGACAGAAAGGACAGGGATGCAACTGGTGGTGATGTGTAGGATGTTACATTAATGAGAAATGTAACTAAAGAAGAAGAGCTCTTGAAACAAAGAAACTTGAACTATGTGGCTAGAAATCAAAAGAACAAGAAGTAGTTTGATTTTTGTTTGTATTTTATACAGGAAACCTTCGCTGCCAGGTACATTTTTTTACCATCCTTGAAGGGAATATTGAGAAATTAATGTCATTGTCAAATGATATTGTTTGCTGGGTGATTTTAACTGTAATATGAGAAAAGATAATAATATCGTCTAAAGATATTTGTCGTATTTGTTAGCTCAATCAATGAACCTACACGAGTTACACCTCATAGTAGTACACTCATTGATTAAATACTAACCTCGAATTCTATTGCTACTTGAAGTCCGGTGTAATGTCTATTGGTTTTAGTGACCACTGTTTAATATTTCTAGTCGTAAGAGGCAAATATCCTATGCTTCTTTCGAAAATAAGTAAATTTAGATTTTTTCAAAACTTTAACGAAAGCAAATTTCAAGAGGAATTGAGAAATACAAAAATTGGGCTGACTTTAATGAAGAGAATGTTGATAAAATGTGGTCTTATATCAATCTGTGTTTACAATATTATGTGCTAAACATGCACCTTTAATTACTGTCAGAAGAAGATGGGGTGCCTTGGATTACAGATGAATATATTACTTTTGCACGTGACCGTGATTACTATAAGAAAAGGTATAAAAAGATGAAGTGTGATTGTTGCTGGGAAAACTTCAAGTATTAAAGAAACAAAGCAAATAACCTTAACAAAAACCTTAAAAGAGTAATACCAAAACGAGTTCTCAGAATGCGGAAATGATTTGAACAAACATTGGAAGGTTTTGAAAAGACTCTTGCCTTCAAAGCAAAAGGAGGTTAACAACACAATCTTAATTGACGATGAAATAATAACTGACAAAGTAATGGTGGCAAATTTATTGAAGGAAAATTTAATAATGTGAGTTCAAATCTACAAACTGGTAAATGTCCTAGCATTGTAGATTGTTATTTCAATTCTTTACAAACGTTTTTTAAACCGATTGTTCTTTCGAATTTCAAGAAATCAAATCAGAATATTCAGTTAGAAATTAACTACGCAATATTGATTGTAAAAAGGCTATAGGAATGGACGGTCTACATCCAAAGTTACTCAAATTATCTGCAGATACCATTGCAGTACCACTCACCATATCATTTATTCAATTGTTAAAAAATTCACGATTTCCATTTGATTTTAAGGTTGCAAAAATCACTCATATTCACAAGGGAGGTACGTTTAGTGTTGATAATTTCAGGACCATTTCAATACTGGCCGCCTTGTCAACAATTCTAAAGAAAGCCGTACATACCGTAAACAATTGTATTCATTATCAAAACGTCAGTCTGGACTTAGACCACTTCATTCCACAACCACATGTCTCACATAAATTACTGATTACCTTCTTGATAATATGAATTCGGGTCAAATTACTGGCACAATATCTTTACAATCTGTAAAAAGCGTTTGACGTTATTCTACATAAAATAATACTTGATAAACTAATTTTCTATGGCATAAGTAACTATGTGTGTCAATGGTTTAAATCTTACTTAATTGGTAGACAATAGACAATATAGATAATTGTTATTGGCAGAAATTGAATTTAGGCCCTCTGCGGCAGGTTAGAAGAACGTGGTAGCTAGGGAAACGAATTTTGTAGTTGTTGGAAGAATGTCGGAAGGCCTACCAGTTTTCAACCTCCTTCATAAGCTTATAAGCTCCATAACAGGCAGAAAGTGAACTCTATACTATGACCTCTGTTAATCATCGCTTGAATATGTTCATCGGAAGTCTTCATGTGATTATGATATTATAACTATAATGGAAACAATTGGACATTTTCAGACTGAGTCAATTTGTGCTACACGAATGTCGGTATGTGGAACATGTGTGACGACAATCGCATCGAGATCATTGCAAGGGATGGCATAGGTATGTCATTAAGTATGTGTGCACATTAAATGAGCAGAGACTTGAAAGAGCGATGAAGAGAGCAAAGAAGAGCTGCATGTGGAGTGTTTGGAACGAGTAGCCTAGTCTAACGAAGTTAAGCAGTTACACTGAAGTGATGAGTGACAGTGATAGAAAGGAGTAAAATGAATTTACACAGTAGCAGACGACATAACCTACACAGTAATACACTACAGAAGTCTAGGATGAAGACTAGTCACTGTCTATGTCAGATATTATTTAGACCCAACTACAAGTATTCCCACAGGGCCATATGGCACTAACATTAGTTGAAAACTGAGGCTTTAGTTTATGAAGAATACTAGCCATATAGTTATTGCTTCACTTCAGAAGTTCAGTTGAATTAAGACTAAGTCAGTCATGAATAGTGCGACGTATGATCCACTATTTAGTGGTAATCTGGATGATGACCAGGGACTATTTGAATTTGGATTGGATCTGGAAGAAGCAAGAGGTACTAAAGATGATGTTGGGAATGTACCACTAATTGAACCAAGTGATAGTATTTCAAATGTTGGTGCACCAAGATTTGCACCAAAGATGAAGAGTTATGGGTCACACTCGGTTGTCAGTGGGGCAAGCAACTGGAGTGCTGCATCTCGGGCTAAAGTCGAAGCAGCAGCAAGCCATGCAGAACTCAAAGTAAAGGCAGAAGTTCTCAGAAAGAAACATGAACTAGAAAGTGAGATACAATTACTGCAGAGAAGGAAGGAGCAGTTAGAATTAGAAGCAGAAGTAGCTGCAGCAAGTGCAAGATTGGAAGCTATTCAACAGGTGGAAGCTTCACAATACCAAGGTCAAGGTCAAGTTCAAAGACAGCTTGCAAGTGAAACTTCACAAAGACAGCCAGGATACATTCCTCCTTCATCTGTAGCTCATGAGAGAACAACTCAACGTGCTGATAATGTACAAGGTGAGAACCAGCCAGTGTTTGACCTTTCAGCATATTTAATGCAACAAACTAATGTAATTCAAAGACAAAATGACCTCACCAAGGTTCTAGTGGAATGCCACCAAAGAGCATCATTGCCTCAGAGAACTTTGTCACCATTCAATGGAGACCCGTTGCAATACAATTCCTTTATGAGAGCATTTCAACATAGTGTTGAGGAGAAGACTTCGAATCCTAGAGACAAGTTATGTTATTTAGAACAATTCACGAGGGGTGAAGCTAACACCATGGTCCGAAGTTGCATGTACAATGCAGATCCTGAGATAGCCTACAAGCAGGCCAAGGAAGTTCTTCTGAAGAATTATGGCAACAAATACAGGATTACAAATGCCATAATCAAGCGTATGGAGGAGTGGCCAGAAATAAAGACCGATGATGCAGAGAAGCTCAATAACTTTTCGCATTGCTTGACCGAGCTCCTGAACACTGCCAAGGATTTGAAACAGTGCAATGAGATAGATCATTCTAACAATGTCAAGATAGCTATCTCCAAGTTGCCATATCGCCTAAGGGAAAAATGGCGCCATACTGCTGATTACATTCAGGAAGAAAAGGGAAAGTGTATCCAGTTTGAAGATGTGGTGACGTTTGTGGCCAAGGCAGCTCGTGTGATATCTAACCCTGTGTACGGAGACATTAAAGGGCCACAAAGAAGAAGTGACACTACGCATTCCAATGTTAGCCAGCCCGGAAAAAGGAATGAAAGACAAGGCTTTGCTACAAACATTTCTAGTCAAAGGCAAGAAAGGTCAAGTTCTGACAAATACTGTCTTTATTGCAGGGTATCAACGCACGATTTGGAGACTTGTAGAAATTTGGGAGCCAAGCCACATGAAGAACGCATCGAGTTTTGCAGATCACAGGGCTTATGTTTCTCCTGTCTCAAGAAAGCATCACATTTTGCAAAGGAGTGCAAGAGTAGGCTGAAGTGTACATTGTGCCAAAGGACGCATCCATCAGTACTGCACAGACAATTTCAAAAGGGAACCTCAATTCCAAACCAAGATGGTGTTCCAAAGTCTCAGAAAGAAGTTCCAGTACATAAGGACACAGTACATGAAGACACTGATGCTACTTCTACTAACAGTGGAACCCCCGCTACAGACAAATCAGAGAATGGTGTAAAACGCACATTGTCAAGTTTCAGCAGTGGATCCGGCAGCCTCCCTGTTGTGATTCCTGTAGTGGTGCGCTCAAAGGAAAGTGGAAAGCAAATACAGACATATGCATTTCTGGACAATGGAAGCAATGCAGTTTTTGTTAGCCAAGACATGAAGGACAGGCTCCAGCTATCTGGAAAAAGGAAAAACATACAATTGCAAACCTTGACACAGAGTAAGGCCGTAAACTGTGAAGTAATCAACGATATAGAGGTTCTAGACTTAAAGCAGGAGAACAACCTTCAAATCAGAGAAGCATTTGTCCAGCAGTCTATTCCAGTCGGGAAAGAGGAAGTTCCAACACAAGCCAAGTTGAGGCAGTTTCCATACCTCCACCATATTCAGTTGCCAGAAATTGATGAGGATGTGGGCATACTAATTGGAAATAACATTCCAAAAGCGTCAGAACCGCTGGAAGTTATCCACAGTGAACATGATGGTTCTTTTGCATTTAGAACCTTGTTAGGTTGGGCAGTGTGTGGTTTATCTAAGTCTGACGAGTCACAAAGGATCTCAGCTCATCATGTTTCGGTTCAAGCAGATATTAATCAGCAGCTGGTAGATATGTTCAACCAAGACTTCAGTGAAAGGGTGATAAATGATAAACCTGAGAAGTCAAGACAGGATAGGCAGTTTATAGACTCAGTTGAAGGATCTATTCAGCATGTAGATGGGCATTATGAGATTGGTCTGCCTCTAAAAAGCCAAAGTATGAATATGCCTAACAATAAACCTCAGGCTGAACAGCGTTTAGCACATCTACAGAGGAAGTTCATGCGTCAGCCACAATTTCACAGAGAATACAAGGACTTCATGCACAAGGTAATAGATAAGAACTATGCTGAAATGGTGCCAGACAAGGAACTTCAGAAAAGGAATGGTGAAGTCTGGTACATCCCACACCATGGTGTCTACCATCCTCAGAAAAGGAAACTACGAGTTGTATATGACTGTGCAGCTGCCTACAGGGGGCAGTCCCTAAACCAAAATCTTCTACAGGGGCCGGACCTGACAAATAGCCTGTTGGGTGTTCTGACCAGATTCCGTCAAGACCACATTGCAGTCATGGCAGATATTGAGGCGATGTTTTCTCAAGTAAGACTACGGAAAGAAGACAAGGATCTCCACAGGTTTTTGTGGTGGCCTGATGGCAATATCGAACGACCAATCAAGGAGTATCGCATGAATGTCCATGTATTTGGGGCCACCTCCTCACCAGCGTGTGCCAACTATGCTTTGAAACAGACAGCAGAACAGTGTGAACACGAAGAAGTTGCACATATCATACAACACAACTTCTATGTAGACGATTGTCTATACTCATCCTCTACTGTTGAGAAGGCTGTAGAGCTCTCAAAAGGGCTACAAGCCACATGTGGAAGAGGAGGTTTCCACCTCACCAAATGGAACAGTAACCATAGGGCAGTTTTGCACGCAATACCAAAGGACGAGAGAGCCAGCAGCGTTCAACAGCTAAACTTTGAAAAGGACAAGCTTCCACAGGAAAGAGCTCTTGGGATACTTTGGAATGCTGAAACAGACTCATTCGGCTACAGCATCAAGATCAAGGATCGGCCGCCAACAAAAAGGGGCATGCTATCAATCATCAGCTCAGTGTATGACCCATTGGGTTTTGTGTCTCCTGTGATCTTAACAGCAAAACAACTACTACAAGACCTATGTAGACTCAAGATAGGATGGGATGATGAGATACCAGCCAAACAGATGAAATTGTGGCAAGGCTGGTTAGAGGAACTACCGATGTTGTCAGAGTACAAGATAGAAAGATGTCTGAGGCCAGCCTCATATGAGCAAGCAGAATCTATCTCCCTCCATCATTTTGCAGATGCCAGCGAGGTTGGATATGGGACGGTCTCCTACCTCAGAATGGAAAATAATGAAGGAGAGACCAGGTGCTCATTCCTGCTGAGTAAATCAAGAGTAGCACCCCTTAAGCAAGTATCTATCCCGAGAATGGAATTGACTGCTGCAAGCGTGGCGGTGAAGATAGATCAGGTGATCAAAAGGGAGTTAGAGATACCAGTCAAGAGGACCTACTTTTGGACCGACAGCCAGACTGTATTGCGCTACATTCACAACTCAACAGCAAGATTCCAGACATTCGTAGCTAATAGGCTAGCAGTGATTCAAGATGGCTCTAGTCCGGACCAGTGGCATTATGTCAAATCAAGTCTCAATCCAGCAGACGCAGGCTCAAGGGGGTTGAAAGTACAAGAATTACTGTTGAATGAAGAATGGAAAAGTGGCCCAGAGTTTCTTCTGAAGTCTGAAGAAGAATGGCCTAAGACACCTGACATGTCTCGTGATGGAAAGGATGAGCAGCTTGAGATTAAGAAAACCTGCATGGTGGGTTTAACAAGGCCTGGAGGAGAAGTTTCAACAGTACACAAGTTGACCACATATTTCTCAGATTGGACAAGGCTACGAAGGGCTGTTGCTTGGTGGCTAAGGCTCAAAGGAAAACTGAAAGAAAGGGCCAAGTTGTCCTCGGATAAAGTGTGTTCTGACACCCTTACAGTAGCAGAAGTGAATGGTGCAGAATTGGCTATCGTTCGGTGGGTGCAGTCTGAGTCCTTCCAAGAAGAAGTAGAAGCCTTGAATCAGAAAGGAAATCAGCCAGGAAAGGCCATACGCAAGAGCAGCAGCATCATAAAGCTAGATCCAGAAATGCATGACAATGTACTGAGGGTTGGCGGACGACTAAGGAATGCCGAGATTGATGGAAATGCAAAACATCAGGTGATCTTGCCCAAAAAGCACCATGTGTCTACCTTGATAGTAAGACATGTTCATCAAAGTGTAGCACACCAAGGTCAAAACCATGTGCTAGCAGAACTTCTTCAGAAGTATTGGATAATTGGAGCAGGTGTGCTGACAAAGACAATCATCAGAAAATGTGTTACATGCAGAAGGTACCAAGCCAAAACAAACACACAAAAGATGGCAGATCTTCCAAGGCCTAGGGTTGCAGCATGTGAACCACCCTTCACATATACAGGCATGGACTATTTCGGACCTTTCGAGACGAGGCGTGGTCGAAGCATGCAGAAACGTTATGGTGTTGTGTTCACCTGTATGACCAGCCGAGCGATACACATAGAAGTGGCAAGTAGCTTGGACACCAGTTCTGCCATAGATGCCATAAGACGATTTGTTAGTCGAAGAGGTTCTGTCAAGACAATGTATTCAGACAATGGCACAAATTTGGTGGGTGCCTGTAGTGCATTGAAGCAGGCTCTACAGAAATGGAGTCAGGAGCAGATCATGAACTTTTGCTGTAATCGTGGAATTCAGTGGAATTTCAATCCACCTGCTGCATCACATTTTGGAGGAGTATGGGAACGACAAATAAGAACTATCAGAAAAATCCTTCATGCCATACTACATGAGCAGTACTTGAAAACTGCCCAGAGTGATGAACAGCTTCACACCTTAATGTGTGAGATAGAGGCAGTTATAAACAGTCGGCCCCTAACCAGAGCTTCAAATGACCCCAGTGACCTGGATGTCATTACACCTAATCATCTACTACAGGCCAAGATGACTACAAGTCCACCCCCAGGGCGCTTCTCAGAGAAGGATGTATACTCTAAGAAAAGATGGCGGCAGATGCAGTTACTAGCAGATACCTTCTGGCGGAGATGGGTGCGTGAGTACCTTCCTACCTTGCAGCAACGGCAGAAGTGGGCCCAACCAAATCGCAGTCTACAAGTGGGAGACGTCGTCTTGATTGCTGATAAGGACGCGCCTAGATGTTCCTGGCAGATGGGACGAGTGGAGGAAGTATATCCGGGTAAAGATGGTCTAGTTCGCAGTGCAAGGATAAAGACAAAATCCACAACACTCACGAGGCCAGTGATAAAGCTGTGTTCGCTCCTGGAAGCAGAATAGTGCTCAACTCGTATCATTTGGAATGTGATAGCATGTTTTTTGTGAAGTTTGGATCGATCACTGTGAATTTAATTTGGATCAAAAAGAGAAATTGGTGCGAGCCAAGCGCCGCCAATGAAACTTATTTTGTAATCGACGTCGATTTTTGCAACCGCCATGTGGAATTGATATAATACTTTGTGAAATGGTGCGAGCCAAGCGCCGCCAATGAAAATTATTCTGTGATCAACGTGAATTTATTTGGATCAAGAGCATTTTCAGCAACTATGAAGCACCGAGTGTTAAAAGCAATTCATAAATCGCGAGTCGAGTTTCTTCCGTGACAGAGAATGATTTGGATTGTGATAAAATACCTTTGTAAAATTGGTGCGAGCCAAGCGCCGCCAATGAAAATTATTTTGTGATCAACGTCAATTTATTTTGGATCAAGAGCATTTCCAGCAACATTAAAGCACCGTGTGTTGAAAGCAATTCATAAATCGCGAGTCGAGTTTCTTCTGTGATGGAGAATAATTTACTCCATCAGATATTCAAGTGTTTGAAGCGTGATAAATGATCAGCTGATAAAGTAATTTCAGAAGAATCTCACTAACTGCAAACTTCGAACAAAAAACAAGACATATGAAGAACAATTTGTGATGTCCATGTTCCATAAACTTTCAGACTTTCAGAGAATAGCAACAAGACAGGAGGACATTATATTAAATGTTTGCATTGCATGAGTATTTAAGATTTTGTGAAATTGAATAAGTTTTTTATTTGATGTTTTGTCAGGCTAAACAATGTTTTTAAACGTTTGATAAAATTGCAAAATTATGTTTTGTATTTTGGCAGGTATTAAAGCACAAGTGGTGCAGTGACACTATTTGTTTGATCAGCCACCTCGATTTCATAGGCAAAGAATTTATATAATTCAGATTTGGAATTATCAGTTTGAGTTTTAGATTTCCAAAGGTAGATATGCATTTTGTGCAGGAACAATGGCTGAATTGTTCAATTCGAATTAGTGTTACTTACAGGTTGTAATACAAGACAATATATGTACATGACGCTCTAATGTAGGTTGGATTCCATGTCACACCAAAGCTGGATAAAGTTGAACTTGTTTTGTGAATTTGTTGGGATAAAAAGACCATTAAAGTAATCACTAGAAAGAAGTGCACATACATGTACAATTTGGTGATGTGAATTATTGTTAGATTGTTATATTTTTGAATACCTGACAAAAAGACATTGTCATATGTTTTTCAAACATTTGTAACACAGATTGTATATCAATTAATAATTGTACGAACTTTAATAACAAAGATTTCTTAAATGATGAGTTTGTTTTAAAGTCATAGTTTGCTCAGCATAATGTTTGTTGACATTACATCATACGGTAGTTTGTATACAGTACCATGTGAACATAGAAAGAGTTGAGAATATATGACGAAAGTACCGTCAATCCCTGTTTAAGCAAACACTGGGATCAGAACACATTATTATAGCCATGGGAGTTTATGTATTATGTTTATTATGATCAAAGGCTCGTGGTTTTGAATGGCTTTGTAAGGTATTTTTGATTTCAGTTTCAGGTTAAAAACTGATACTATGGGTTAATTGGTTAATGTTTCTAATAGGGAGTAAACAAAGGTTATGATAACTCCAAGACTCGTACCTTATTGTTAATTGTGAAGATATTGCATGGTTAATTGAATGTTTGTTAATTTGACTGGAATGCAGTTGTAAAGAAATCAGTTTTTGGTTTTGAGACACAGTTAAATGTTGTTGTTTGAAGAACTACCAATGGCAAAGTATAGCATTGGTTTGATGAGTGCGGAGCTTGTATTTATAACGTTTCAAGGGAAAAATCTGCATAAGTAACGAGTAGGTTAATAAGTAAATATAGCTGACTAATGTTTGTTTAGTTGCTATTATAAAAATATTGCTTGCCATTATGTTTATTTGAAGGTCAAAGAGTTAGGGTTATAACACAGACCTACAGTGGAATCAGTATGCAACTTGCAAGGTCAAAACTAATTTAGTGTTAATCTATTTTAAAATGCATCACAGGAAAAGGAGACCTGATATTGGATTAAAATGCAAATTATTGTTCGTTGATTGGAACTCATATGCAGGTGTAGCAAGAATCCACTGTATGTCTACATTATTAGATTGTTTATACCGGTAGGTTTTATGAAGATGTTGAGTGATGATTTCTAGCAAACACATTTTATATGAAGCAGTTTTGGTTAAACAGATTGATGACAAGAGTCATTCATCTTTGATTCGATTAGTTTGCCTTTTACAGGAAGTTGCATTAGTTCAAAGGAGTTTATAATGTAAACAAATAGAAACGATAAAGTGTGGGCTATCAAAGAATACAGTGTATTACTTTGAAATATGTTTGTTTGATGATAAGACAAAGGTTTTGAGTTTTTTTTGTTACAGCCAGTTGGTTGTTATAATGTTAATTTGCTTTGTTGTTTAAAAAATCAAAATGGACAGAAGCAGGCATATTCTAATTCAGGTTCATCTTGTACAGGTAACTTGCAAATGGAGGTTGTAGTTTATTTTAACAGAATGTCTGATCAATGTGACAGATTAGCTCAAACGCAAGAGGTTCAGGTAAATTTTGGACAGCATAGCTTTATGTAAGTGAGCAAACAGGGTATAGAAATTGTGTCGCCCTCGGGCATTAACAGCTACATATGCGTAATGATAAAGGAAATGCAGTTATGTAAGGATTACAATAATAATAATAATAATACATAACATTTATTAGGCGCTTAATACTGATGTTTCTAAGCGCACAGTGTTCTGATTAAGAGAAGACTATAACCCGTAGAATTAAATTAGAAGAAAAAGCAAAAATACAAAAGTAACATAGATAAGGTAAGAAAAAAAAGTGGCAATCAACTAAATAAAGACAAATATGGTGCGCACCTCCATTGACCGACGCACAACTGCAATTTACAATTTGAAAAGATAGGTTTTGAGTAGAGATTTGAATTGAGATACAGAGGGGGCGCAGTGAATAAAGGCGGGCAGTTTGTTCCAGATTACAAGGTTGTAGTCAGTTTGATAGGAAATCTGTTTCATATTTAGGTGCACGTATGTAACTCAGTTGTTGGTGGTATCCGGTAAGCTACACTATTAAAGGTGCATGTATGCATAAGTGTGGATTGTAATTGTATCAAGAAATACAATTAAGGGGCCGGGATGTTATTGGCAGAAATTGAATTTAGGCCCTCTGCGGCAGGTTAGAAGAACGTGGTAGCTAGGGAAACGAATTTTGTAGTTGTTGGAAGAATGTCGGAAGGCCTACCAGTTTTCAACCTCCTTCATAAGCTTATAAGCTCCATAACAGGCAGAAAGTGAACTCTATACTATGACCTCTGTTAATCATCGCTTGAATATGTTCATCGGAAGTCTTCATGTGATTATGATATTATAACTATAATGGAAACAATTGGACATTTTCAGACTGAGTCAATTTGTGCTACACGAATGTCGGTATGTGGAACATGTGTGACGACAATCGCATCGAGATCATTGCAAGGGATGGCATAGGTATGTCATTAAGTATGTGTGCACATTAAATGAGCAGAGACTTGAAAGAGCGATGAAGAGAGCAAAGAAGAGCTGCATGTGGAGTGTTTGGAACGAGTAGCCTAGTCTAACGAAGTTAAGCAGTTACACTGAAGTGATGAGTGACAGTGATAGAAAGGAGTAAAATGAATTTACACAGTAGCAGACGACATAACCTACACAGTAATACACTACAGAAGTCTAGGATGAAGACTAGTCACTGTCTATGTCAGATATTATTTAGACCCAACTACAAGTATTCCCACAGGGCCATATGGCACTAACAATAATCATTGTGGTGAGTATCTAACTGTTAAATCCGGGGTACCTGGGTCAATTCTGGGCCCCTTGATTTTTGTTTGTTTTTTGTATATTAATATTAATAATTTAAAATTTCATAATAATTTCAAGATATCACTTTGTGTTGACGATACTGTCTTTTTAAAATAATTCTAATAATGTTTCTGAAGTTTTTTTTACAGAATGACCTTGATTTAATATGTAAATGGTTTGGTATAAATAAGATGTATATACACCCTCAGAAAGCCAAGGTGATGTCCATTGGATGAAAAAGAGAGTTGGAGAACAATCGTCTGTCAATTAAATTAAATGGTAATAACTTACAGTGTGTCGAAACAATAAAATACATATTAGTTTTACTTGACTCACAACTGAAGTTGTCTGAACGTATAAAATATATTAGTACTAAAATATCTTGTTCTATTGGATGTTTTCGTCATATAAAACACCAACAGTACTGTAATACCTAATAAAACTCTTGTAAACCTCCATTTTGCATTAATTTGACCACATGTCAACTATTGTTGTACAGCATGCTTGGGGAAACTGCTTAAAGGAAAATTTATCGAAGCTACGAAAGTTACAAAATAGATTTGCAAGACTAATTTTGAATAAGGATTACAACACACCACAGTGTACGCTTCGTACAACTTTAAATTGGCAATCGGTCGAACAACAATTCAAATATCACTACTGTTTGTTAGTTTTTAAAATTATAAATGTTATGGCCACAACTTATTTAAAATCATTTATCAATTATCGCGCCTTCAACTACTGTACCTGCTATTCATTGAATTCTCTTCATTATATCACATATACCCCAAAACCAAATTTAAAAACAGATCATTCTTGTATAAAGTAAGCACCCTGTTTTAACAAAGTTTCTTTCTCAATTCAATCAACCAAATCAATTGAAACATTTAAGCGATGATGCCAATTGGCCAAGCATTCATTATAGTAGAATCTCTGTTCTTGTATCATTTTACTGGTATAATTGTTATTCTTATGTTATGTTTGTACTCTATATTACGTCAAATATGTCGATGTTTAGTTTTTATGAATGTTATATTTTCATGTGTTCCTAGTATTTGTGTATATCACATGCTTGTAATGTCATCCTAGAGGGC